TAAGGTGGTGTAACCGAATTCCAATCTCCTCTTGGGTACCAAATTAGCTATTACATTAGGGTGGAAATTTGTCTGTGCGCTGATGATCGACGTTTTCAGCTCTTCGGCTGTTCCATTTTGCTTTTCTTTGCTCTGTAACTTTTTAGGAATTATGGCTTTACGATTCTCTATTGGAATCTGATTAAGAAAAGAAGTTGGCCCCCAGATTACTGCCACATTTTTTCCTGCACTTCCATCTAGTGTGAAAGGACCGGCATGGACGGCCGCGTTATCGTGCGTAAAAACCAAGGTTCGAGGGGACTGTTGTCGAGAAAATGGTAAAAATCGCACCAAAAGAACTTCATGATACCCTGTGGAATCCTTGTGAAAGGAAACAAATATGAGCTCAAGCCGCTCAGCCGTTCAAAGGTGCCTCAAACCATAAGGGATTCCCCGCCGAAATTGCGTTACTTGAAAACCATCTGCGATTTTCATGCGATCATCCTGTACCCTCTTTTCCTGCCATATCCACCTAGAATACACTTTTCCACGTCGATCTCAGACCACCTGTAGAACGAAACAAGGAGGTAGAGTCCAAGATCGCGAAGGGTCTTAACAGCCACACCATCGCTCATTAAGTTGAGCCCTTTTCCACGGAGAAATGGAGACTTGCGACCTTGTAGCGCTCACATAATCTTAGAACGCTCTTCATCAATCCGTTGAAGATGTTATTGCTCTGCTGGCTTACTGGCCACACGGTGGTTTTGCTCACGGAAGGCCGCATTTCAGTACGGACTTTGTTCGGACTCCTTGTATAATTCGAGAGAAGACACCCAGTTCCTCCTAAATTTTAAAGGAAACGCAGTCTTTATTTACCTAAGCGACTCTTCTCTCTGCAATGACCAGGATTTTGCACATAGTCGCTTATGCAGTATGAGCCGGCCGACATGGGAGGAAATTCTGCTCCTCAGCCATCCTACTTCAGTAAGTGCTCTAGCTTGAGCTTGCTACTGGAAAGAGAGGCGAATAACACGAGGTATGGTAAACTCGATGTCGACTAACAATAAGCTCACATATATTCCCGCTTCCCTGTTTCCCTTCACGGATCATGAGAGATGCAAACTTTTTATGAGTGGCCCGATATTCATGAAACGGTGAAAATTGGTTCTGAAAAAGTTAATTGGGTTACTTAAGGGGGGACCTTTGTCAGAAAAACACTATGAAGGTTTTCCATGATGAGGAATCTAATGGTGATAGCAGCATTTTCAAAAAATGCTCAGCAACATTGGGGTAGCAAAAATGTAGGGTGGACCTATAATTATGAAACGCAGTGTAGATATGTAATAACATAAAATATTTTACCAAAACTTCAAATCCTTGGAAAAATCAGCTGTTGAAGTTCCTGACACCCCACGGGTGTCAGGCGGTCCGGAAAGGGTCAATTTTTTGCTACGATGGAATTTACACACCAATATTATCACCATCGTCATTTACTATGATGTCTCGCCTGGGCAGGTCAGTGATCCCCTTTTCACAGAAATGAGGAGAATAGGAGTCAAAGAAATCGCTTTCGAAGTCTTCAAATTTCCTGATTTTTTTTTTCGCTAGAAATAAATTGAGGAACGAAATAAGTGGTAGTCAGAGAGGATAATGTCAGGGGAATAGAGAGGGTGGAAAATCGTTATCCAGCCCAGATCCTTAAAATTTTCAGTCAGTTTCGGTCGCTTAGCTTGGTAATGAATAGAGCGAAAACATGTCAAACGGTTCACGAATTCATTAGAGGGTACGAAACCTGCAAGGAGGATGTTGAGTTTCTGCATTACATTGTCCTGGTGGCAATTAGACCTTGCGAGTTTTCGCATTTTCTATCTATTGTTCCGAATTCTTGAAGCGCTAACCGTGCCATACAAGCTTCTTGGTTAAGTTGACCTGCCGCTGGAATGTGTGTGCCAAAACCCTACAGGATTCAACCTGTAGATTGGTTACCGTGATGCAGACTGCTTACTAATTTTGAAACTGCATGATATTTTGCTTCAATAGGAGAGCATTGTAACTATCTAGGGTTTAAAAAACTATGGAAATGATCGACTCGGAAAAAGTAGGTAAGGGCGCGTGACGCACTGTCTCATAATTTTGGTTTCAAGTCGCAGGTGAGCTATGACCGCATTATGTTATAGAATCCTGAGTACCCTAGAATTTGATTTTCGACGTGTTTTTTTCCTTACAACGGTACTACCGTTTCAGTAAAGAGTCAAGAGAAGGGGGGGGAAGAACGCAGGATGCATGATGATAACTGGTCCCTCTTCGTCAACGCAGACTGATCCTTCTGATTGCAAATTTCCAACTTTTTTCAATTTCCAAAGTGAAAATTCTCAATTTACATATGACAATGTTGAACAAAGATAGTTGCAGCTTAAAGTGATAATCGATGGGAACGTAAATAGGCTGCAATAGCTCAACGATT